GGTATTACATTTAATGTACCTTATTTACTTTTTTTGTATTATATACGTTTGATGTCAGTTTTCTTACGTGTTGAACCTTGAAGGGTTCGAGGAGGGTGTGTATCTTAAACCGTGAAATTTGATATTTGTTTTCTCTAATTTTCTTCTGTAACTTTCTCCCCATCACGAGTGGGGGCTGAAAACGGTTATTTCTCCCATCCCCAGGATGTCCGGTGTCAGCTAACTTGGACATGGGCAATTAGAATTTTTGGAAGATATCTAGTAGGGTTTTCAACCGGAAGGTTGGGGATTCCGGAATTCCGAATCCCCGGGATCCCGGTTTTTTTTTCAATCCCGAAATCCCTGGATTTAATTTTGTCTAAATTATAATTAAAAAAATTTTTCTCATAAAAATTTTCGGAGAATTTAATTTTTAAAAAAATCATATTTTGTTTATGAAATATGTTTGTAGAATTCTTTTATGCAATTATAAGTGTGCTATAGGTAAAAAAAATTCTCTCATTTCTCGTATGGGAGAATGTCGCACAGATCTCAGTGGCTCACTGCAATGTTTACACAATAATATAAGCAACATCTCAAGAATAGATTTTGTCACAGTTCCTTCTTCAATTAAATGCCGTTAATTAATAGCGGACCTGCTTGGGACACTTCAAATCCCGTTGCATTACTAACAGCTCATGCAACTGGATCTTCAATTTCAAATGAGGTAACATTTGCAATTGATTCACGTTATGATTCAATAACTGGATCAATTTACATACAAAAACCATTAAGTGTAGCAGAAGAACTAAATAAAGATATGAAAGAGGTATATGCACCAATGCAGTCTATTAGATTTGAGACACTGTCATCAAAAATTCAAAAAGAAATCTCTCTTTTTTTTAAAAAATGGAGGGAGACATGGTGACTACCTGAAAAGAACATACTCCTATTCAATGACGATAATACCTACTAGTAAGGAATCCGAGCATGCATTTTCTTCAGCAGGACAATGTGTAACAAAAATAAGAAGCCGTTTCACCGATGAAACGGGAGCTGTATTTTTATAAGCTTATTTACAAAAACACAAGAAATGAAGAAATTTTTTTTTTAAAATTTCATTATGTACTATTTTTATTTGTTTCCTATGATGAATTAATTTCTTTTGTTTCATTAAAATAATATTAAATCAATTTTTACTTGTATTTTAAATTTTATTATGCAATTTCAACTATGCTAATATGTAAGTATTTTTAATAAATAGCTCAATCCTAATCCCGGGACCAATCCCAGGGTCATGAGATTTGGATAATGTAATCCCGAAATATCGGGATTGAAAATATGACACGGGATTGCAAACTCTAAATATTTCGTTAATTTTTCTTTAAAATTTGCTATACAAAAAGATATACTTGTTTCTCTTGTTTCGTTCTGTATGTGAGTTTAAGGCTTTCGCGTGTTTATTTGAATTATTAATATAAAAAACCTTATAAGCTTCTGAATAATCACTAAGAAATAAATTAGAAAAAAATAATGTGTATGATATTCATTGCTTAAATTTAACACACACATTCAGTAAAATTTGCTTAGAAATTTGATATTGGAATTTTAACTAGGTAGAAAATTAAACTTCTTTTGGATCTAATCAAAAGATTATGTAAAGAGGCTTTTCAATTTCCAATCATTATAATCCATATAGACTGCAGCAGGACCTTCTTCCGCTAGGCGCAAACAACACAAAGGACAGAAATAAAAGGCCTTAATAAACGTCTCAAATAGGGATTGATTTAGTCCCATTCGGGGGGTCCAAGGCAGGGATAGTCAACCTTTTTAGGAAGAGTGCCACTTTTAGACCAAAAAATAATTAGGCGTGCCATTTCCGACTTTTCGATCAAATGAAAAGGTTAAAGAATGTTACTTATTATGTAACTTTTACTCAAAAAGAACACATTTTTAAAGCACAAGTCTAAGTAGTGGAAATTTAAAAACGATATAATAAATAAGACCAAAGCACAGACTTAAATTTTTTCTTTATTTAGTTCAGTTAATTTTGGACCATATTTTGATTTTTTTATGTTCATAATAGAAAACATTTGCTGACAAACGAATGTTGATTCAACACTACAACAATATTTGACTGAGCCAAAACGTGTAAATTTGAAAAAATTGCTTGTTAGTACAAATCTACAAAATTCACAATATAATTCCTTATATTTGTTTTTCAGTGTAGTATGGTTCTGAATACAATACTTCCCATTTTGATTTCAGGTGGGTTACAATTAATATTTTGTAAAGAAATTGAAAAAGGATTTGTGAAAAAATCTGAATTTTTTTTTTCATATTGAAAGTTATCAAACCTAGCACTGCAAGAATCGTGCAAAAATGGATATTAAATTTTTAAATCTATCACAGCTCGGAGCACTATTAACTTTGATAGATATTTCCTGCATTAATGTGAAATATGTTGATTGTTTTCCTCAAAAATCAAGACAAAAAAGTCTAGTTGGTCAAATACCACAAAAGAAGGTATTTGACCAACTAAGTAGAAAAAAATACAAACTTATTCATGTAATCTTAATATTAAATTATTTTAATGTCCCTTATATTGGAAAGAAAGGCTGAATCACATAGCTTCTCTTCATTCTAGAATAGCAAGTACTCACTGGGCAGTTCATTGTTTTCTTCCAGATATTTTAAAATAAACTCCTTCAAATTCTAAAATCTCGCGAGTGAAAAAGCTTTGGAAAGCCAACTCACACAACAATGCAGGTGCATTCTCAAAACGATAAATTTCAACTGAAACTCAATTAGGTTTATTTAAAATAAATTTTGAGATTTGTTTTTTGTCTGGAACAATCGCATTACAATAAAATTGTAAGAAAAAATTGTAATTTATTATTAATTTTCAAATTTTTCAAATTTTTTAATAAGTTTAAAGGTGCCACTGGTTAGCTACTCCTAGTATAAGACATGCATGGAGTAGCAGGGAACCGGTAGGTTGGTGGTTCAAATAAACACCCCTGCCAAAGGGTTCTTCGGCAGTGACCCAGGAATTGAACACTAGATGGCAGCATAGCCTAACACTACTGGTTGATTATTCATTCATTCATGGAGAGTCTAACAAAGACATTCCCAATAAATCACGACGAGTGATTCATACGACACAGGCACACGTAGAAAACCAGACCCTCTATCTCAACAAGAGACTGTTAACATAAAGAATCGTTCCAAAGACACTCAAATCTACTGCAGATGTAGTTGAACTGCAGTAATATCTGGAAAACAACCTTCTCTGAGCATCGCTCAGAAAGTCCATCAATAGCAAAATCAATTTTATTCACTAGGAAGGGGGTATGCAGTAGACCCTTCTACGCAAGTCGAAAACAATAAAAGGCACTAATACAAGGTAAACAAAAAAGTTCTTGCCATTTGCGCGTTTCCATTGAAAGAAGTGAGAATAAGTATGCAAATTCGTGTACGACGTGATTGAGAAATCATCAGTCGAGAGTAGGAATATCAGTTTTTATAAATGCAGGTCCACTGCTCACAATCATCAATCGGAACTCATACAGTAGCGAAGTGAAATGGACGTATCGAAGGAGCTCGTTCGGGTTGTTTACTTATCAGCCGCTGCATCAAGTCGACGAATATGCTAAGCGTTTGGGGATAGTGCTGTCAATGAACGTACAGCAAGGGCATTGGCTTAAAAAATTCAGGTCGGGAGATTTGTCCCTCTGTGATAAAGCTCAAACAGGACGACCACAGGCCTTGGATGACGAAACCCTGCAGGCGGCCATTAAAGAGGGCAGTAGTTAAACTTATGGTGAAGAGTAGCAGTGGATCGGTAGTTCATTAGTTCAAATAAACACCCCTGTCGAAATTTCTTCAAGATTATATTTAAGATGGTATTATAGACAGAAATTAATCTTTGTTTCGTGAACAGTCAAGATGAAAGGATGAAGGCAAGGTCATTAACAGACGAAGGGGAAAAAACTTATTTGAAGTCAAGCCTTGAAGCCTTTAAACAAATATCAATACACACGGTAATACAACAACAACAACAACAACAACAACAAAAAACAAGCACATTTTTTTATTTTTACCACAGCATTTCTAGCTCCTTCTAGAGGCTATAGCTAGGGTAACTGAAAGTAGATGGTATTCTCTTTATTGCGTGGCACTACGTTGACGTCCAATGAGTTGAATTTAACTATCAGTCAGTATTATTTCTTATGGAAAATTTGGACGGAATTAGTATTCGAATCTAAGATTCAACTTGAAAGTCACCAACCACAATTATCATGTTCAGGACCTTTGAATTTAGAAATTTTGAAAATCCCATTCAGCATTGATACGAAGAAAAATTCAAACCAGGGGTAGGAGCTAGTTATACCAGTTTTTATTATTTTAAAACAAAATTGTTATGTATAACAATGGTTGAAGCGCCATTTCAAAAGCACTGAAGATTCGCTAGAAACAGGCAATCATACACAGAAAATCTATCGAAGTTCAAAATTTGCAGATTGATAATGTGGGGAAGTATGAAGAGAGGGTGCCAGTTCAAGTATCACCTCTTAAATAGTTGTGGTGCATCTTAAACGTGGGACGTTAACCACTTAACCGGACATTTTTTTACACAAAGTCTTTCAACAAAAGTCATTTTTCATTGTGTATAATTAAACACTGTACTTATTAGAAAGAAAAATGGAAAAATTTTATACACCATTTTTTAATGTACTATTGTGAAACTTTTTAATGCTTGCTATTTCAATTCCTACTATTAGTTTAATCTCTCCCTATATATATATATATATATATAATCTTGTTCAAATTTTCAATTATTAATAAAGTTCACACATTCAAGTTCAAATACATTTTTTTTATATTTGTAGTGGATGGGATTTGATGTTAATACTTTTTTTTCCAAATATTTATTCATTAATTAAATTAAAAATTAGTACATAGTAACAAATAAAAGTAATAGTCCAACAACATATATAGAAAGGAAAATCGTTCGTTGCGTCCCTGTAGCGCAATGGATAGTACTTTAGATTTCTAATCTAAAAGTCGTGGGTTAAAATCCCATCTGGGATGGCCTAATTTCTGAGAATGTGATTTCTTTTTTTCTCTACTATTTTGCTGAAGGATTTGTGTATGTGTGTGTTCCTCTAAACTTTAGAGGAACACACACATAGAGTCTAAAGAACAATATAAATAATCAGCAAGCAGTTCAGATCTAAATTTCATTTTAATTATTTCATAAAAAAATGTATTCTTGTTTTTTGAGTTATCCGTTATTTCAAAAGTCACCGGTTTGAATGCAAAAACATTGCAAATAGTAGAACACAAATTTTAAGGATCTAAATTCCTGCCTTCTCCAAAGAAAAATTCTCGTCTTCAACACGCCCATCTTCAAATGCCGAATGAAAATTATTTCAGTATTACAAGCAAACTACATCCTTTTTTAAACACCAGCACTAAATAATATCACCATAAGAATTTAAAACACGCGCAAATCAGATAAAGAAAAAATATAACGGGCAAACGGTTAAGAAATTAATAAACGATCAAAGAATCTCAAATTAAGTACTTCAAAAGTTGTTTTTATTTCGTTGACTTAAAAGCATTAAAAAGTTTAAATTTAATTCGTTGCCAAAAAGTATACGTAATAAATGTGGGGTAATGCAAAACTCTCTCTTTAAATACAATATTCCTAAAATGTAAACAAGAATGAAATACAAATTATTTCTTTAGTTGCATAATGTAATTCAGGGTATTCGTTTATTTATATCTTTATCTTTCCGTTCGTTTTTTCTTTCGCTCGAATTAATCGTTTGTTAAAATTAATTTATAGTCTTTTCCGAGTGAAAAGGCGTTGTTGTTCTTTAGTTTCGTGAAAATTATTCTTTTGCTTTGTGTTTAAGTAGTATTTTTCCTCATATATCCAATATATATTGTTTCGTTTTTTCGGTTTTTAATTTATTTTTTTCAAAACTAGGTGATTTTTTTCAAGTTACCGGGATAAAGAAGATACACGTTTATATTATGCATCTCTGCAGTAATAAAATGTAAAAAAGTTGCCCTTTGCATAATAAAAACCCAGAAAATAGCACTTCATATATATGTAAATTAAACTCTACTAAATATTAACCACTTAATTTTCCAGAGAGGACCGTATTTACGTTCTTTCTCGCACATTTCTTAAAATTTCATGTGAAATGGTGTGTATCTCATTTAATTTTCAATAATCCTCTTCTTTTGTTTATCCTATTTTTATACTCTTAAATTAAAATACTGTGAATAAATCGGATTAGAGCCTTTAGTTGTTTCTGAATTCTGGTGGGAAAAATAAATTTTTTTCTTAATTCTAAAGTAATCTGAATTGTTTACTAAAACGAATATTTGTAAGGCAGCTTTTTCGTTTTAGCTTTAAAGTCCCCTTTTCGATGTAAAAATTCATTAATTTATTTAAAATGAGAAATGGGTCTTCAAGCTCCATTTCAGTCATTTTGAACTCGCGAATGTAACGCAAAACTTAAGCAATATCTACTTTAACGCAAAATTTAGAGCATTATATTTCTTTTATTGCAATAAAGTGTATTTTAAATAATTGAAAAAATAAGATTTCTGAGAGAAATTAAACACACATTTTTCTCATGATATTTATAAATATTTTCGTGTATTTCGTTGCACTTTAATTACTTGTTTTTGAGTTTTCAGATAATTTAAAAGAAAAATATTTCCACGAAGCGAGTTTTGTGGAAAAGCAATAGAAATTTTCCACATAGGATTGACAAAACTTCCGTGAATTCAATAGATCTCTGGTATAGATAACTATGATAAAAAAAATATTTAATAACTAACAACTTAATTCTCGTTTCTTCCTTTTTTTTAAAAAAAAAAGCTGTAGTTGTGAAAGGAGATAAATTGGATCAATAAATATGTTTCGAATACGGTGTGAGTGTGAGTTATATTAATATATCACTCACTGTAAAGATATAGGAAGGCTATATTAGTGACTGCCCTAGTGATTTTGAACCATGGTCAACCCCCCACTTGGCGAGCTTCAAAGTGTCCCATCCATAAGCGTGGCAGATGCATCACCTCTTACTTACGTTTAAAGATGATTTAATATTTTATTGGTGAGATTTGACATTAAAATATGTTTGACACAAAATAATATTTGAAATAGAACCACAGAAATTGAGATATTTAAACGAAAAAAGAAACGAGCCTTACAGTAGTCGCATACGATGTGTAACATCTGACATGTTATTGTGGTAAATTTGCAAAAGCAAATCTGTTTGGTGAACCCTCAGTCTTTGACAATTGAGCGTAAGGATCGCAAGTTTATCCTTGATGAAGTCTAATAAGACTTGCTGGTATGTGCGAAGTGGATTTAGAGTCAAGCACAAACGAAACCGAGTTTTTGAATTAGAATCTTTTGAAATGTTAAATTTAACAATATAAAAAAAAATCTGGTAGCTTGATGGCTACTAGAGTTGGACCCCACGTGGATATATCTTTACAAGATCCAGCTCTAGGACTTAGCTTCTTCTCTGATAATTAAGCGAGAAAACAAAACAAAAACAAAGATCCCACGGCCTAAACAGCAGGGGGGGAGACCCTCCCGAATGAATGAGAAAAAAAAGAACTTCACTGCGAGGAGGGTAGCGAAGAGGCACCACCAAGCGCGCATTGATTGGTCAAATTAAATAGCGCGCACTTCCCCAACTTCCTGTTACGCATTTCCGTCCCTTTTCACGAAATCACGCCTACAAATCTCTAGCAACCAAGAGGAAAGATGTTTACACATCAAAAATATCAAAAAGATAACGGTTAGCAACCACTGTGTCACCACTGTTTACATTTTAAGCTGCCTTGTTGCAGTCTTCACAAACCACTTGACAATGTTCAAGGACCATGGATTCTTTGTATAAGATATTACAAAATTGTAATAATCTTTCTTTGATGCCCTGACAAAAGGGAACAGTGCCTTCTTTTCCAAGTTCCTGGTGATGTTTCTCTTGAGTTTTCGTCTTGAATGGGGCGTTGTATATTAGATATTTCTTCAATCCTGAGTCAAAATGAACGACCGTCTTCAAAGGTGCCCTTTCAAAAATTCGCGACCTAGTTTTTCTAGATACGTGCGTGAGGATCTGAGGGATTTTGATTCTCATATAGATATTTTGGGAGTTTATTCTAGCCACATTGAGGATTGAATAAATTACAGTCACTGGCTAGGCACGCGGCATCCCTCAGACGTATCTCCACTCCTGCAAAAAAAACAAAAAAAAAAAACTATCAAACAGAAGTTACAAAATACTTGTTACGAATTATTTTCGTATAAAACTGAAAACTACCGTATTTTACAAGGAAAAAAATTTTAATTAACAAAATAATACAAAATCATAAAAACTGACGTCGTTTGGCGCGCTTGCATCTATCAGATTCAATGGCCCCTGTCACCCTAAGTGTGAAGAAATCACTCTTGTCCTTGACAGTGAACCCTAGGGTGAGTGATGAAAGGCAGATAGAAGAAGGAGATGCGTGTTCCAACCCACCGTGTGGATGCAGCTCTGAAACTATTTTTATTATGCATCTAAGAGATTCGCGCGCCTAACGGAAGGTCAAGCCACGAGAGTGACCAAATACCTCTCCTTACTTCCACACCACACCCCAACTATTTATTTAACATATTATTATAGACTTATTTAACGTGCATTCGCCCCCTGTGCACGGCGAGTCTTGAGTGGTACGAGGTTCGAACCCATGACACGCCAGCCACTAGGCTACTGTGGCCACGTTTCTAATACGGAAACTCTGCTACATATAAAATTTTTAACCATTGTATATGCATATTCTAATTGTGTGTGAACTGAAACTATGTGTAAAAAAAAAAATACAATTTTAAGCGCTTATTCGAAATCACGGTTCAGAACATAGTCAATCCCCTTAAAGCTATTGTTATCCTTAATGATATTTTTTGTAGAAATATACTATACAGTTGGACCCTTATTTAACGAGTTCATCGGGACCGAACATTTTGTTTGTTAAATTGGTGTTATTCGCTATTTTGGAGTCCAAATAAAATACAAATTTTTGGCATTTAATTTTGGGAAATTTAAAGTAAGCAACTACACCAAGATATCCATAGTTATAGAAATTACACACTTTTTGTTCAACAGCTAAATATTCTAAAAATGAATTATCAAGCATCAGGTAGTTGGAAATTTTAAAATACTGACTAATAGATGTTTGAAAATTTTTGATAATTCCCGAATCGAAAGAGTTCTTTTTTCCGACTCTATGCAGAGAAGATTATACTGCGTCATTTACATTTGCTGCATAAGGTATGTTTTCACATTTTCCACAAACAATGTAAAGAATTAGAAAAATGTAACAATTTTGATATTAGTTTCATTATTAATTCTTGTATCAGAATCGCTATACATTGGCTCCACCAAATCACCAATTTCCTGAATTTCAATTGCACTGTGTGATAGTCTGTCATCAAATGTTATATGATCGTTAAAATCTTCAAATTGTGGAATGGGATAAAAAAGGAGTTTCCTACTCGACTCAAACTTCATTTGCACTTCTATTGTCAAAAATGCTCTGCACCTTTTGTTGTCGAAATTGCCTACTGGCAAGAATAATCTTTTTTCTCTTCGGGACAAAAAAAAATGTTATTTGAAAAAAAATTCAATTTTTTCTAATACGAATTAATAAAAATATTCGTTGCTGAAATAATTCGTTAATTCGGGGTTTATTATTCGTTAAATAGAGGTTTTCGCCTTTATTTTAATCGGAAAAAGAGAAAAATTCGTTAAATCGCGAAATTCGTTAAATAGGGGTTCGTTAAATCGGAGTTCGACTTATTTGTAAAATAGCGTGGTGTAACAGTAAGGACGTGGCAGGCAAGGAAATATTAATGTTCATTAACAAACATCACAGTACAGAAAAAAATTACGAAAGGAATTGGTAACGCATTACCAGACCATTACAAAAAGTGCAACTGCGGTATGCTTTTGAATTGGAATTAGACTGCAATATTCTCTCAGATTCCTCTAGGGGGCATTGTTGGATACGTT